AGGAACAACAACAGCCTGATGCCCCTCAAAATATATAGCTGAGAACTTCTGACATTTCTAGTCCAGCACATCTGAAGGGTACCAGTTTAGGAAGGACTGGCATACACTTCCTTGTTTCTCATATCCTTTGTGAGACCCAGATGCCCTTTTCACCCAGCTCCTACCTAGTCCCTTTGCTCCATTGTGTTTCCCTACTCCTTCCAACGACATCTTTCATTCTCTCTCTGTGCCTCTCTTTTCCATCCTTCAGCCTTTTCTGCAAATTGGCAGCCTTGGTCAGGCACCGGGTCTCTCTCTTTGGTAAGCAGCATCTTTCCTCGACTTCTGTCCTTGTTGTGTCTCTGTGTGTATCCCTTACCTCTTATTTTCTACCCTTTGTCTCTGTTTCAGTGGGGTCCGAGCGCCCCACAAACCTCTGTCCATCCTGCATCCTGAATGTGCCTCCTTAGCCATGGACCAACCTGCTTCCCCTCTACGCCTCCTTCCTGCCACCAAGCTGTATTTCTCTTATCCTGTAGACCTGTGGTTCTCAACCTGGCGTCCCCAGATGTTTTTGGCCTACAACTCCCAGAAATCCCAGCCAGTTTACCAGGTGTTAGGATTTCTGGGAGTTGAAGGCCAAAACATCTGAGGACCCACAGGTTGAGAACCACTGCTGTAGACATACTTTGTGTTCCTTGACCTAAACCTCTTCAACGTGTGGACCTCCAGGTGTTTCAGCCTCCAACTCCCAGAAGTCCTAGCCAGCTCATTCATTGGTCAGGAATTCTGGGATTCAGGTGTCCAAAACACCTAGAGGGCATCAGGTTGAAGAGGTCTTCTCTCAACCAAGGGTGAGCAATGGACACCTGAGCTGCTTGTGAAGCTCAAGGATATAAAAAAAATGTGAAATGTTATTTTTTTGTAAAAATCACATTCCCTCCTCAAATATGCATAAGAGGGCCTTATTTATTTATTTACGACATTTATATCCTTGGGGGATACTTTCACCACTTTTTCTCACCTTGGCCATTTTAGGTCCAGAACCTGAAGTACCTTATATACTCGGGTATAAGCCAACTTGAATGTAAGCCGACGTACCTAATTTTACCACAAATAAATGGGAAAACGTATTGACTCGAGTATAAGCCGAGGGTGGGAAATGCAGCAGCTACTGGTAAATTTCAAAATCAAAATAGATACTAATAAAATTGCATTAATTGAAGTATCAGTAGGTTAAATGTTTTTGAATCTATCTATATTAAAATGCTCTGTGCATAATGAGTTCCTTAAAAACAAAAGAACCAATGAACGAAATCACACCCAATTTGGCAACAAAACATCTCACAACACAAGGAGTGACCATCACGCAAAAATTATGAATTTGTCATTTGGGAGTTGTAGTTGCTGGGATTTATAATTCACCTACCATCAAAGAGCATTCTGAACTCCATCAACGAGGGAATTGAACCAAACTTGGCACCAGAACTCCCATGACCAACAGACAACACTAAAAGGATTTGATGGGCATTGACCTTGAGTTTGGGAGTTGTAGTTCACCTACATCCAGAGAGCACTGTGGACTCAAACAATGATGGATCTGGACCAAACTTGGCACAAGCACTCAATATGCCCAAATGTGAACACAGGTGGAGTTTGGGGGAAATAGACCTTGACATTTGAGAGTTGTAGTCACTGGGATTCATAGTTCACCTACAATCAAAGAGCATTCTGAACCCCACGAACAAGAGAATTGGGGCAAACTTCCCACACAGAACCCCCATGACCAACAGAAAATACTTAAGGCCATCCAGTGCAACAAAGGGTTTTACTATCCATCAAGTAGAAAAACATAATAATAATAATAAAATAATAAATGTCATAATAACAATAATAGAGTAAAATAATAAATGTCATAATAATAATAATAATAATAATAAAGTAAAGCAATGGAAATGTAATAATAGAGTAAAATAATAAAGTTAATAATAATAATAATAATAATAATAAATAGAGTAACATAATAAATGTAATAATAGATCAATGTAAATGTAATAATAATAAATAGAGTAAAATAATAAATGTAATATTTATTTATTTGTTTATTTATTTGGAGCTTTTATAACCCGGTCTTCTCAACCTCTGAAGAGGGACTCAGGCCGGCTAACAACAGGAAATTCATACACAACTAAGCTAAAACATAATAACATCATAATATGTTAATACATTAAAATACATTAAAATACAGATTAAATAATTACATAAAAGTAAATCACAAATTCATCACCATCCATAATAATAATAATAAACTTTATTTATGCCCTACCACCATCTCCCCCAACGGGGACTCGGGGCAGCTTACATGAGGCCAAGCCCGAACAACAGATTACAATAAAATAAAATACAAATTTCAATAAAATAAACAACATAGCATTAAAGTATAAAACATATAAGCATGTAAACAATATACACAAAACATAAAGTAAAGGGGGGGGGGGAAGCAGTAAATGTAATAATAATGATAATAATAATAATAGAGTAAACTACTAAATGTAATAATAATAATAATTATAATAACAGAGTCAAATAATCAATAACTTTGACTCGAGTAAAAGCCAAGGTGGGCTTTTTCAGCCTTAAAAAGTACTGAAAAACTTGGCTTATACTCGAGTATATACGGTAACTTCAGTCACTTTTTGCTTTTTAAAAAAAATACTTTTGGGGGGCCTGAAATGCCCAAAGGGGTGGATTAAATACATGGCAAAAATACCCCATACGTTCTAGGAGGTCACTTTTTAAAATTGCCAGTGGATAGGATTGTGGCCATCCAAGTTCTCCTGCAGGGAATTAATGTATGCCTGTAGCTTTTCACAATGGCACGTTACATCTTTTAGCAAAGATCATCTCTTTCTCTTCAGGCACAGATGCTGCTGCCGTGATTAACTGCCTGCATATCCTTGCCCGCTCTTTGGATGCCAGGTGAGTAGATCACCCAAATATTTCCTCCTCTCGTGCAGAAGAGAGAGTGAGACCGTCTTCCAAACCATCTCCACACCCAAAAAGAGGAGGGAGAAAGTAGCTTCCCTCCTGCTTTCCCTCCATTTGCATCAACTGGCAGAAGCTTGGACATCTTTCTTCTTTGTCCTACCCGCTAGGACCGTGATGAAGTCAGGCCCTGAGATTGTGAAGGCTGGGCTGCGTTCGTTCTTTGAAGGGGCCTCAGACGACATTGAGAAGATGGTGGAGAATCTCAAGCTGGGCAAAGTGTCGCAGTCACGCACCCAGGTCAAGGGTGTGGGCCAGAACATCACCTATACTACCGTGGCACTGCTGCCCGTGCTCACATCCCTCTTCGAGCACATCGCCCAGCACCAGTTTGGGGATGACGTCATGTGTAAGCAAGCAAGGGGAAAGTGGGATGGAATGGAATGGTGCCTCAGTTTGTGTCTAGACTTGCTATTGTTTGAATTAGCAACCCAAGCTGGTCTGGGAATTTTTGCAGAGGAATAATACCTGAAAGGAGTTGCAACATGTCGAAGCGAAGTTCTCATTGAGATTTATTTATTTATCGTGTCAGGAGCGAACCAAAACAGTTGTATTGCATTAAAAACAAACAAACAAAACACAAAGACTTGGTATTCTATTAAATGTCCTTTGACCAGTAGCTGACCACTTGGAGTGCCTCTGGTGTTGCTGCAAGAAGGTCCTCCATTGTGCATGTGGCAGGGCTCAGGTTGCATTGCACCAGGTGGTCTATGGTTTGCTCTTCTCCACACTCGCATCTCGTGGATTCCACTTTGTAGCCCAATTTCTTAAGGTTGGCTCTGCATCTCATGGTGCCAGTGCACAGTCTGTTCAGCGCCTTCCAAGTCGCCCAGTTTTCTGTGTGCCCAGGGGGGAGTCTCTCATTGGGTACCAGCCATTGGTTGAGATTCTGGGTTTGAGCCTGCCACTTTAGGACTCTCGCTTGCTGAGGTGTTCCAGCGAGTGTCTCTGTAGATCTTAGAAAAATATTTCTTGATTTAAGTCGTTGACGTGCTGGCTGATACCCAAACAGGGGATGAGCTGGAGATGTCACTGCCTTGGTCCTTTCACTATTGGCTGCTACTTCCCGGCGGATGTCAGGTGGTGCAATACTGGCTAAACAGTGTAATTTCTCCAGTGGTGTAGGGTGCAGACACCCCGTGATAATGCCGCATGTCTCATTAAGAGCCACATCTACTGTTTTAGTGTGCTGAGATGGCTACTGTACCCTAGTAAGTGGCCATTCAACTTCTTATTAAACATCTCAAGTGAAGTAAGCTTTTGAAAATTTGGGGGGGGGTTGAAAATTTTGGGGAGGAGGAGTTGAAACCTGCCTCTTAGCTCACGCTGAAGCAAAGAGCACAGCAGCCTTCAATAGCCTGCAGCTCCGCCCTTGTCAACCACCTCCACCAAGTCTGGCCTCCTTAATGAGAGCATTCAACACCCCCCCCTCCCAACTTGGTTGCTTCGCTACATCGGCTATTGCTGCAAGTAATGACAGTGTGAATAAATTGTCAATCTTTGCTTGAGATAGTGCTTACAGTTCTGGAGGGACTCTTAATTTTTTGTGTCTCATAGACTTAGCATGAGGATTTGGTTAACCAGTTAAAATTCATGAGTAAACCAGGTTTATTTTTTTTAACCTGAAAAATTTCAGGGGGGGGGGAACCCCTAACACCCACTGTTTTAGTGTGGTGAGATGTGCTCCACACTGGGCATGCATACTCAGCAGCAGAGTAGCAAAGCACAACAGCAGATGTCTTCACTGTATTGTGGTTGTGATCCCCAGGTTGTGCCAGTCAGCTTTCGTATGATATTGTTTCTAGCGCTCCATTGAGATAATGGAGGGACACATACTAGCCAAATGGCATGTGCAATCCATGGTTCTAAATGTTTCTAATGTACTTAGAAAACTAAAGTTCTGGTGGTGAAAACTAGGAGGCGCTCGTGCTTTGCTTCTACAGTGTTGCTAAAATTCTGGTTTTGAAAATTTCAGAACTCTAACAAAACTTTCAAAATTTCATTATAAATGGCAGTCCCTAATTGGATCTGTCAAAAAAACAATCAACAATGAAATAATAATGAAATTATGGAAGTTTTGTTAGAGTTCTGAAATTTTCACCACCAGAACTTTAGCAACACTGTAGAAGCAAAGCACCAGCGCCCCCTAGTTTTCACAACCAGAATTTTAGTTTTGTAAGTGCTTTAGAACCATTTAGAACCATGGATTGCACATGCCTACTAGCCAATGGTACAGAGCAGTGCCAACTACCGCAAGACTATGTAAAGAAGGAAATGTATGTTTTCGGTGTGAACAACCCCTCTTATTTTATTTTTATTTTTATTTTATTTTTTTGCTTCTCTACAGTGGATGATGTCCAGGTCTCTTGCTATCGAACTCTGTGCAGTATCTATTCCCTGGGCACAACCAAAAATCCTTATGTGGAGAGGTGAGTGCAAGAAAATGGGAGATTTAAAGGTGTTAGGGAAAACTACCCTAAAATATATAACAGAGTGTCCAAAAATCATACAGGATACAAAAGTTGATACATTCCAACTGTATATATACTAAACTATACTAAACTAACTAACCGCTCCTTGTTGAGGATTTGAGACTTGGGCAATTCCAACAAAAGGAAGATTCATTCCTGTTTTTGTTTTCAAAGAGTTACATTTTCCAGAGTTTGGAAAGCTTAATTTTGGACAACTCTTCCAAGAATTCTCTATTTGTGGATATGGTGGGTGTCAGTGTGTATTTCATGTATGATGTATGTTTAAATGTAATTTCATGTAGAAGAATAGTAATTGAAATAGATTTGTATTGCCAGGATGTATGTTTACACAGTAGAGTTGAAAACAGCAAAGCAACTAGCTGTGAGAATGTGGCCCTGTGACCCTGAGTTCTTGGTGTGTGAAGAATTAGGGAGTGTCTGAGATAACTCCCTTCCAGCTCCAGTTTTGCTTTCAAGAGTCTATCTCTTTGTTCTGTGTTCTTCATGTCTGTCTGCTCATGGTGTATGTTGGATTTATGAACTGCTCAAGTAAAGCTAAATCCTGCTTTTTACCGGTGACTGCAGAGTCCATTATTCAGTGCTTCCGTGATTCTCTGCTAGCCCTGATTCTAGGACATGATGTCCTCAAAAGTAATGCTTCCTAGCTCTATGTATTTCATGTTTAGCAGAGTAATAGCATTTATTTAAAGTGATGGAGGATGTGATACTTAGATGCCATGCCAGCAGGACTTCCTTAGCTTGTTGTAGGTTTTTTCGGGCTATATGCATGCCGTGGCAATCACTGCTTTGTATGTTTTGTCCATTTTCTGCAGGCAGCGGCCACAACTTGGGGAATGCTTGGCACGACTAGCAGCAGCAATGCCTGTGGCCTTCTTGGAGCCCCACATCAACGAATACAACCCGTACTCTGTCTACACCACCAAGTCACCCAGAGAGCGAGCCAGTGAGTTCAGAAGGAATGGGGGGAGATTATAGGGTTTCCTTAGAGGTCGATTTGCAGAGTTCTTTCATCTGAAATATACCCTGCAGCACCTGGTATTGGTTGGTGGGCTCCCATGAAGAGCTGATCCTTCATATAAAACATATAGAAAGACCAGGCAGGATTTGGCACCCTCAGGGTGTTGTGGGACCATTATCTTAAGATTGCTACTCCTTAATTCCAAAGCTAATGTTTGCCAGTTCCTTCATCTGAAAGATACCCTGCAGCACCTGGTATTGGTTGGTGGTCTTCCCTCCAAGAGCTGATCCTGCTAGATGCCCAAGACCAGGCAGGATTCGGCACCTTCAGGGTGTTGTGGGAGCATTATCTTAAGATTGCTATTGCTTGATTACAAAGCTAAATGGCATGCTGTAATGAATCCCTTACCTTAGCTAGCTGGCAAAAGCCTAAGGGAGTGGGCCTGGCGAAGCCACAGCATCCATCCATCTGAGGTTTGAAGTCCCTTTTTAGTCAGCTGGAGTTGGAGCTTGGAACGGTTAGAGAGAAGAAGTGTGGGTGTTAGTCAGAGACGAGTTTGGGTTTGGGAAGAAGAATTGGGTCAGTCTTTTGTGAAGTATTCAGGGTAGCTATTGAGAATATAGCTAGAATACTGTGTGGAGCAGTACCCCGTTAGTGGACTGTTCAATTCCTAAGGAAGTCTAGTTCAGGGTTTTTGGCTAGATTCCTAAGGGGCATTTTGGGGAGTTACTTTCAGAGAGTCATTTTCTGAAGTAATTTTGTGTGGTGGAACTTTGAAGACTAGTAACCCAGAAGCTTTGAAGATCTTGACTCTAACGCAACCATAAGCTTTTTATGCCAGTATTTTACTGAAACCATTAAGCATTTGTACCTGAATTATTCAAGCCTGTTCAATAAGCATTCTAGTTATTTTCATCAACTTAGACCAGCCTCAGTGTGAATACCTTTGTGGTCAAAGCATTGCTAAAGTCAGCTTCACAACAGCCTTTAAGAAAATAGTGGCACAATGTGTGTCACAGAAGAAACTTTCAAGTATTACCTCAGCCTGTTTGATTAATACAGAAATGGTGGCAGCGGAAATCTTTTGAAGAATCATTTTAAGACTCTCAGTTCCAGTGGTTCCCAGTTCCTCACTTTTAAATATACAGTTGGTTCAACAACCATGCTCCCTCTACCTTTTGTGAGCTTCGTAATTTTGGCTGAGCAGCGAGCGTTTGGGATTATTTTATATATTTCCCCGACTAAAATAATTTAATTAAAATCTTTTCTCTACTACTCCTCACTGTGAGCATTATTATATTTTGGTGAACGTAGCACGTGTTTTGTCATACATGCCTTCTCTTTCATATCCCCAGTCTTGGGCCTACCAAACCGCGTGGAGGAGATGTGCCCAGATATCCCCGTCCTGGAGAAGCTCATGAAGGAAATTAGCGGACTGGCTGAGTCAGGAGCCCGCTACACTGAGATGCCCCATGTCATCGAGATCACCTTGCCAATGCTTTGCAACTACCTCCCTCGCTGGTGGGAGCGGGGCCCTGAAACCAACCCCCAGGGCCCTTGGTGCACCGATGTGACGTCCGATCAACTCAACACCTTGCTAGGCAACATCCTGAAGATCATTGTCAACAACCTGGGCATAGATGAAGCTTCCTGGATGAAGCGGTTGGCAGGTACGAAGGGTCAAAGGTCAGAGTGAGGATAGATTTGGAGGAGCTTTTATCTTTGAAGGAGGGATCGGTTTCCAAGGAGTACTGAAGCCTGCATAGAAGGAGACTAAGTAAAGGACAGGTTGACATATAGCCTGGGCTTCTAGTCTGCTGTAGTGAAGAATTGCTATTGGAGTGGCGAAACCGTGACAAATTGGGGGTTTCCCTTGCCCCAGTCTTCTTTGTGATGCAATTGTCAGTACTCCGCATTGATCAGCCGTCAATATGGTCATTTTCAATGAGGTACCATAAGTAACACTTCGATTGGCCAGTAATTGACAGTTCTTGGCTAAACTAATGGAACTGCCAAGGAATAGAATCCTTAAGGAATCCTGGGAAATACAGAAAAGATTGTATCCTATTTTTACCAGCATAGGGTTCAGTCCAATGCAGCCTTACATTGTCATCATGTTAGTGACATATTTATTTATTTACAGCATTTATATTCCGCCCTTCTCACCCCTCAGGGGACTCAGGGTGAATTACAATGTACATATACATGGCAACGGGGGTGGTAACGGCCGACAGGGAGCTCTGGCGTAGGCTGGTCCATGAGGTCACGAAGAGTCGGAGACGACTGAACGAATGAACAACAATACATGGCAAACATTCAATGCAATAGACATACAACATATATAGACAGACACTCAGAGGCTATTTAACTCTCTAGCTTTTTCATGAGGGTATTCTGGCCACCAGGGGAGATGTCACTTCACCATCCATTTGTGACACTGATAGAGTACTTCCTTATTCTTTGCATACTTGCTGGAGAATTTTTATGGCGTTGTAAATTAGCCTCCCTGCGTAAGCGGTACCTAAATTTCCTACTTGATGCAACTGTCTTTCAGGCTACAAAGGTCGACAGCAAGCTACACAAATTGGTCGGAAGCTCACTCTGACCCGGGCTGGCTTCAAAGTCACTTGTGATCTTAATGCAGTTGACTACCAGCTAGCTGCGCCATAGTCCTGACATACACATGTATAAGTTGCAGTACAACAGGATCCGGTCTTACTACCTAGAGCCCCTGCTGGAGAACCATACTTATTCAGAGAATAAGGAGAAATTGCACATCCTTCTTCAGGGTTCAGATAAAAACTCTATTTTAAAATTGACCCTTTTTACCCAAAAAGCGCTGGCCATCCGTGAGAAGATGGAAGCAGAGAGAGGCGACCTTGCTGCCATCAACAAAACTCAAACTTAAAAACTTAATATGGACACGCCACTAGTTTTACCTACCCTTGCCCCCCACCCTAACCTTATTTTAAGGAATTAATCAATTTTTAATCTTTTAACCTCTTTATCTTGTAGTTGCTCAATTATTTAGGAGTGGGTCGACAGGCCAGTAGGCCATGATGCCTTGTATTCATATATGGTTTTACTGTATGTGTATGTTTTGTATGTTTTGCATGTTTTGATATGGTCAAAATTGACTAATCAATAAAGAATTGTTGTTATTGTTGTTGTTATGTATAAGTTGCATTACGTATTCAGAGTGAAATATTTGCTATTGTGCAGTGGATAGATTCTGCAGAAGCAAAGTTGCATCTGCAACAGAGTAGCTCTCAGTCATCAATATGTGTTGTGCAGTGTTGTTTTACAGCATGGGATTTATTCAGTGCTGGCCTAATATATTGCAGTGTATAGATATTTACCCTTTACTGAGGAGATGTGGGATCATTGCTCCCATAGGCCTGGAATAATAAGAATAAGAATCAGAATAATAACACTTTATTTATACCCCGCCACCATCTCCCCAAGGGGACTCGGGGTGGCTTGCATGTTATTAGCAAAGCTAATAACAACATACAACAACAATACAATATAAATAAAAAATACAGTACAAGAAACAATATAAAAAGCACTGCAAACACAATAATTTAAACACAGAAAATAAATCACAGTGGGCAGGGCTGACAACAAAGATTAAAAGTTTTAAAACACTGGATGAGAAGGCAATGTATTGTATCTGGACAGGGGATCAAAGGGATGAAAGTAGGGTTTAATTGCACTAGTAGTTAAAAATAAAGTGCTTCCGAGGGTATTTTTTTTTTTTGCAGGGTTTGGTCAGGTCAGGGGTTATAAATCAGTTCATCATTCCTTGAAGGCACACTGGAACAGCTAAGTTTTCAAGCTCTTCCTAAAGACTGCCATGGTGGGGGCGTGCCAAATTTCTCTGGGGATTGAATTCCAGGGTCAAGGGGCCACCGCAGAGAAGGCCCTTTCCCTCATCCCCACAAGTCGCACTTGCGATGGAGGCAGGAGCATGAGAAGGGCCTCTCTGGAAGATCAAAGTCCAAGGAATTAGATCCCTAGGTTCCAGAAAACATTCAGGTTTCCCAATATGGACATTACAGGCCCCGCAAGAACAATTTAGTCCCTGAGTGTGGTGGATGCTCCTTCTCTGGAGACTTTTAAGCAGAGGCTGGATGGCCATCTGTCGGGAGTGCTTTGAATGCGATTTTCCGGCTTCTTGGCAGAATGGGGTTGGATTGGATGGCCCATGAGGTCTCATCCAACTCTAGGAGTCTATGATTCTATGATGAGTTTCTGGCAAAAAGTCTTAGGAGGTGCATGTTGGCAGCACTGGAGGGAGAGATTATTTATTTCTTGACAGATCATAGAATCAAAGAGTTGGAAGAGACCTCATGGGCCATCCAGTCCAACCCCCTGCCAAGAAGCAGGAATATTGCATTCAAATCACCCCTGACAGATGGCCATCCAGCCTCTGCTTAAAAGCTTCCAAAGAAGGAGCCTCCACCATACTCCGGGGCAGAGAGTTCCACTGCTGAACGGCTCTCACAGTCAGGAAGTTCTTCCTAATGTTCAGATGGAATCTCCTTCTTGTAGTTTGAAGCCATTGTTCCGTGTCCTAGTCTCCAGGGCAGCAGAAAACAAGCTTGCTCCCTCCTCCCTATGACTTCCTCTCACATATTTATACATGGCTATCATATCTCCTCTCAGCCTTCTCTTCTTCAGGCTAAATATGCCTAGCTCTTTAAGCCACTCCTCATAGGGCTTGTTCTCCAGACCCTTGATCATTTTAGTCGCCCTCCTCTGGACACATTCCAGCTTGACAATATCTCTCCTTGAATTGTGGTGCCCAGAATTGGACACAATATTCCAGGTGTGGTCTAACCAAGCAGAATAGAGGGGTAGCATTACTTCCCTAGATCTAGACACTATGCTCCTATTGATGCAGGCCAAAATCCCATTGGCTTTTTTTGCCGCCACATCACATTGTTGGCTCATGTTTAAGATGTCCTTTCCTTTGTGATCCCTTCCATGCAGTCTTTGCACAGCCCATTGTCAGCAAGGCAAAGCCAGAACTGCTTCGCTCCCACTTCATTCCCACCATGGAGAAGCTGAAGAAGCGCTCAGGGAAGGTAGTAGCCGAGGAGGAGCAGCTGCGGCTGGAGGCGAAGACGGAGTCTGAGGATGCTGAGCTGCTTATTCGGGACGAGTTCTCGGTGCTCTGCCGGGACCTCTATGCCCTCTACCCCTTGCTCATCCGATATGTTGACAACAACAGGTATTGTGGAGATCAAAGTGTCCTTAGCTGCTGTCACTCTCTCCTTCTTATAATAAGTATTGAGATTAATTTCACAATTCAGCAGCAGATCAGTTGCACAACTTCAGCGCTTTCCAGTAGCTTCTTCCTGCACAGTATTTTCAGTCAACTGCTCCCACAAACTGCAGTCACTCTGGAACTCTTTTACAGACACTTGAGCACATGCCCGGCCATTGTCAGTTTTACTATTGTTTTCCCCTCCAATCTAGATGACACTACAAACTTACCACAGCACACGGTTATATCTTGTCTTAGCAGACTGGATCTTTTAATCAATTACATAGAGCCTTCGACGAACAGCATCACAGCACAAGGAGAGAGTATACACTCTACATGACTTCCTTATATACAATTCTATACAATTACACATAGCAATCTCTGATTGGTTCCCAACTCATTGACTTAACTCAAACCCAGGATTGCATCATTCACAATCACCTGGACTAGGCCAGAACACATTCCCCAGATGATTCCCTATATACAGTTAATGCATGACTTAGCATTTCCAATAGCAGCCTATTAGCAGTACATGACTCAGCTATATTACATTACAATACATTGTAAAACCTAACAATAAGATATTTTTAAGAATGGGAGATTACCAAAAGTGGAGGGAGAAGAGTAAACAGACAGAATTGGCCCTATATGCCTGACGTATGCTAGCAGGTAAAGATACCTACTTACAGTTCTTTGCACTTTCAGAGCCAATTGGTTGACGGAACCAAACTCGGACGCCGAGGAGCTGTTTCGGATGGTTGGGGAGGTCTTCATTTACTGGTCAAAGTCACACGTGAGTGAACTTTTTAATAGAGGATAGTGTTTAGGTGTGTTCTCGTGAAACAAACAATCTCACAGGTGGAACTTGGAACCCCTTGAGGTGTTGCACAGGCCAAAGACTACATGCTTTTGTACTCCAACAATGACATCAGCAATAGTCAGAAATATTAAAAATTAGCTAGGTATTTTTAATTACAAAAATGTGAGTCAAGCACTAAAAAGGTCAAATGAATGCAATGACTCAGCCAAAGCTGCAGTTCAATATAAGCAGGTGTGCTTGTAGCTTAGTAGCCTCGGTCTGTAAGAGGTTTCTGTAGGAGAAGGGCCCCAATGTGATAGTAGGCCACAGTATGAGAATGCCTCAGTGTTAGTTTAACTCAGTGGGAGAAAGGCCTCAGTATGAGAGAGCCCTCAGTGGGAGAAAGGCCTCAGTGTGAGATAGGCCTCAGTGTGAGTAGATCTGGTGTGAGAAGCTTTGTTGAAAGAAGCCCCAGATTGAACTCCATCGTGTGTGAAGGCTGCTGTGTGTAAATAAAATACTGTGTGAAGCTCCTGTGTTACTTCAGTGTGAGAGTGACGCTATTTACCTTCATGAGAACGAAGCCCAGTGTGGAAGCAAAGAAGGAAGTATAAAGAACTTTGGGTTGTTGTAGGTTTTTTCGGGCTGTATGGCCATGGTCTAGAGGCATTCTCTCCTGACGTTTCACCTGCATCTATGGCAAGCATCCTCAAAGGTAGTGAGGTCTGTTGGAACTAGGAAAAAGGGTTTATATATCTGTGGAATGACCAGGGTGAGACAAAGGACTCTTGTCTGCTGGAGCCAGGTGTGAATGTTTCAACTGACCACCTTGATTAGCATACAATGGGCTGACTGTGCCTGGAGCAAACTTTTGTTGAGAGGTGATTAGATGTCCCTGCCTGCTTCCTCTCTGTTGGTGTGCTGTTGCAATTTTAGAGTTTTTTAATACTGGTAGTCAGATTTTGTTCATTTTGTTCACCTCCCAACAAAAGTTTGCTCCAGGCACTGTCAGGCCATTGTATGCTAATCAAGGTGGTCAGTTGAAACATTCACACCTAGCTCCAGCAGACAAGAGTCCTTTGTCCCACCCTGGTCATTCCACAGATATATAAACCCATTTTCCTACTTCCAACAGACCTCACTACCTCTGAGGATGCTTGCCATAGATGCAGGCGAAACGTCAGGAGAGAATGCCTCTAGACCATGGCCATACAGCCCAAAAAACCTACAACAACCCAGTGATTCCAGCCATGAAAGCCTTTAACAATACATAAAGAACTTTATTTGTGTTATGGAAACCTTGTTCTTGTAACTAGTGCAACCATATTATTTTACTACAAAGAAAAGCTTGCTAGGAGGGAGAACATCCCTTCCTTACTTAGGCTCCAAGAAGTGGCCCCAGTCTCTTCCCTTTTTGGTAAATAAGGCGTAACTGATTCCTCCCATCGGATCTCCTTCTTCCCTGCTGCACAGGACTCAATTTCTTTTTCCTTTTATCCGGTAGAACTTCAAACGAGAAGAACAAAACTTTGTCGTGCAGAACGAAATCAACAACATGTCTTTCCTAACAGCCGACAGCAAGAGCAAAATGTCCAAGGTAAGAGGCGTGCCAGGGAGTGTGTGAGGGACACTCTTTAGCCAGGGATGGATGGGATGGAGGACACAAGTCTTCTCTTGCCAGGAGCCATAATATCCCTCTAGGATAGAAGAACCTTTGCACCAACAGCTATTAAGTTTGCGTTCCTCAGGACATTGGTCTATGAGAACGAGCATGGCACTTGGGTGAGAGTTTGAGCTTGTGAGGTAGAAAGTCCTCAGTTCAAATCCCAGCACAATTAGGAACTATTTGGGTGTTTTTGGGCAAGCCCTTTTTGCTCAATTTTCACTCTGTCTAATAGCTAACATAACAGTAGTCATTCTGCCTTACTCTAAACAGTACTTGTATGGGTTGCTACCGTACTGTTTGTGAAATGCTTTGTGTGAAAACTCCCTAGAGTATTTCCTGAGTAACATTATTAGCACTGTTCTTTGCCTTTCCTTGTGGGGTGTTTCTTTTCTTCTTGAATGAAGGTGGCCTCTACCCAAGCCAGCTTGCAAGACCCAAATCCATTTCACTCAACCCTCCAACTCTACCACCCCATTCACAGTCAGTTGAGAGACTAACACCCCCATCTTTTGAAGCCTGGTTTGCAGCTGACCAGTTGGGAATATCTGAGAAGAACAAGCTCGGTCTTTGGCCCACCATTGAGTGTATCCCTTCATCTCATGCAACATGTGCATAATTCATTATTCTTTAATTTCTTTGCAGCATTCATAGATAGATGTGGTAGAGAGTGAGGGAATGAGGAGGGAACGGTGGGATAAAGGAGCAAATAGCAGATCAGGGGCAAAACCACTGAAATGTTCTTAATGCCAACTGAAGAGGTTTCAGATGACCACCTACATATTTTTTAACTCTTCCAAGGAACGAAAACTAGGAGCTTAGTTATCCCCTTGTGAACACTGGGTGGAAATGACAGGTTCCCCATCGTGGTCCCTGTGAATCGCACATATGGTAATTTTTGCACCTGAGCAGACATATATGCAGATTCACAGGTGATCACTCGGGGAACTACGGTTACAGGTAAGCAACCTGTATTTCTCCATCGTGGTCACTGTGAATTGCACATATGGTAATATCTGCGTTTGAGCAGACATATGTGCGAATTCACAGGTGACCACTCGGGGAACTACGGTTACAGGTAAGCAACCTGTATTTCCCCATCGTGGTCCCTGTGAATTGCACATATGTTTGCTCAGGCCTAGAAATTATCATATGTGCAAATTCACAGGTGACCACAGAGGGAACTACAGTTACAGGTAAGCAGCCTGTATTTCTCCATCGTGGTCCCTGTGAATTGCACATATGTCTGCTCAGGCGCAGAAATTACCATATGTGTGAATTCACAGGTGACCACTCAGGGAACTACGGTTACAGGTAAGCAACCTGTATTTCCCCATCGTGGTCCCTGTGAATTGCACATATGTTTGCTCAGGCTTAGAAATTATCATATGTGCAAATTCACAGGTGACCACTCAGGGAACTACAGTTACAGGTAAGCAGCCTGTATTTCTTCATCGTAGTCCCTGTGAATTGCACATATGTCTGCTCAGGCGCAGAAATTACCATATGTGTGAATTCACAGGTGATCACTCAGGGAACTACAGTTACAGGTAAGCAGCCTGTATTTCTTCATCGTAGTCCCTGTGAATTGCACATATGTCTGCTCAGGCGCAGAAATTACCATATGTGTGAATTCACAGGTGATCACTCGGGGAACTACGGTTACAGGTAAGCAACACATATATTCTGTATCAGCCCAATTCTGCCCAGTGCTTAACCTTGGATCTCTTTGTGTGAGCAGCGTTTCTTACTCCTTTGATTGGTTAGCTGAAATGCAGGGAAGAGAAGGAAGAAGCTGGTGGTGGGGATCTTGATACCATCTTGGGCCTGTGGGTTCTTTGTTCTGCATCCATCCTGGGTGTACAACTCCATCTAACCTTTTGTTTCTCCTCTTCTGTCTTGTCTCCCTCTTCTCCCCTGCACCGTGTGTGAGTTTAGTCTGGAGAAGGCCAGGTTAGAGAAACAACGGCCCTTTTTGTTGTCGTCCTTTGGGCCACGTGGAGACCGCATGGCGCAATGCGCATCTCTGCCGGGACCCTCCCCTCTCACCTTGCTGGAAAATGAAGTGGGAAACCCTCCGAGGGCCGGGGGAGAGGGAAGGGGACGTGGCTGCATGAACCATGGCGAGAGCACAATGGCTTTCCGCAGCTCTGGCAGCAACGCATCATGCATCCGATGGGTTGGCACCAATGAGCCATCAAGCACCCCATTGGCAGGGCTGACTTTCTCTCACGCACTTAGACAAGACTCCATTGTGTAGATGGCAACGTTGCGTTTTTGGAGTCTCTCTCACATGCCGTGTCATGCCATTCCCTTAGCATTGAAAGGTGTCCCTTATTGCAAGGGATGCCTTTTATTTGAGGAATGGGAGGCTTGTTCCTTGTTATAAGGGCTGTCCTTTATTTAAGGGGCAGAAAGTTTGTCTTTTCATATAAGAGATGTCTGATTATGATGGCTGGAAAGCTTTTCCTTTTTTACACTCCAAACAAGATACCTAAAAATCCCATATTTAAGTATGTGAGCCCTTCATAAAGACAGAAATGTGTGCACCATATATATCGTATATTCTTGAGTATCAGCCGATCCAAATATAAGCCGAGGCACATAAATTTACTACAAAAAACTGGGAGAACGTATTGACTCGAGTATAAGCCGAGGGTGGGAAATGCAACAGATACTAGTCAATTTCAAAATAAAAATAGATACCAATAAAATGACATTAATTGAGGCATCCGAAGGTTAAATGTTTTCGAATATTTACATAAAACTGTAATTTAAGATAAGACTGTCCAGCTCTTATTCAACAATTATTCTAACCTCCTTCAGTGTAAATGTGCTTACATGTCCTTCCAATAATAATACAATATAATAATAAATGTAATAATAATAATAATAATAGTAGTAGTAGTAGTAGTAGTAGTAAAATAATGGAAATGTAATAATAACAGTAATAATAGAGTAAAATAATTATAAATATAGTAAAATAATAAAAGTAATAAAAATAATAATAGAGTAAAATAACGGAAATGTAATACTAGGGTTGAATGAAAAGTAATGCCTCCACCTTCATAACTCCTCAACAGATGGCAGTACTGGTGTGCAGTAGGTACTGCCTTGTTCAGTAGACTCTTCTCTACAGTTCCATTTTGGTGGGAAGCCTTAGCATTGAATGGTTGGGTTGTTGAAGTGCGAAGTATGGAACCCTGTGCAGAAGGTCGGTCAATGAGACTTAAGCAATGTGCATTCATTGAATTCTTGATAGCAGAAGGTGTCACCCCAAAGGAGATTCATCAGAGAATGCAAGCTGTTTATGGTGATTGTGTTGATGTGAGTACTGTGCATCGTTGGGCGAATAAGTTTAAAGATGTTGAGGTGGGAACATCTGACTTGCATGACAAACAAAGAGTTGGATGTCCTGTGACAGCAACCACCAAGTTTCACAAGGTTGACAGATTGATTCAGGACAATAATCATATCACTCAGAGAGAAATTTCAAGTATAATCGGCATTCCACATGAACGTGTGGGTCACATTATCTTTGCTTGGCTATCGGAAGTTCTGTGAACAATGTGTACCCAGGATGAGAGAACCGTGAAACGCTGGTTGCGGAAACAGAGTGTTGACTTCTTCCATGATGGCTTCAGAAAACTTGTTCATCGTTGGCAGAAATGTATCTAATTGTATGATGATTATATGGAAAAGTGAATCATGGTAGTTAAAGAGCACATTCTAAAGATTATTTCTGTATTTGATTTATTAAAATATTCCCATCCAAACCCAAGTAATGAAGGTGGAGGCATTACTTTTCATTCAACCCTTGTAATAACAATAAGAATAATAACAGTAAAATAATAAATGTAATAATAATAATAATAATAATAATAATAATAATAATTACAGAGTAAAATGATAAATAACTTTAACTTGAGTATAAACTGAGGGAGGCTTTTTTAGCCTTTAAAAAGAGGGCTGAAATACTCAGCTTATACTCGAGTGTATACGGTAAGTTATGAGTATGGACAAAATGTTAATTTTACAGATACATGGCCAAGTTAACTGATACCAATATAGGCTGAGTATCCCTTCTCCCAACATCTGAAATGCTCCAAAATTGTCCACATGGATGGCCAGGATCATGATACAAACATTGTTTCATGCACAAAATTATTGTCAATATATAATACATAAAATTACCTTCAATCTATGTCTGTAAGATGTATATGAAGTTTAAATGAATGCCATCTTTTGACTTGACTCCCAGTCAATATCTGAAACCCAGAACATCTCTGGCCCCAAGCATTTCGGATAAGGGATACTCAATCCGTACTTCTCATTTGGTCCGTAGGTAGAACATGACGTCGTTAATTGCTATTTCCCACTTGCCAGTCCTTCATATTATGAATTGTAAGTCTTGTTACTGTTTTTGGCAACACTGGATTCTCCTTATCGGACTGGGTTGCTTTAGGGCCCCTGGTTTTTGGAGGCCCCTCCTTGAAAACTGACCTTTTCTGTCTCGTACATCCCATTCCTCTCCCAGCATGCCTTAGAACCCCCTCCCGATAACCTGGACCCATGTTGTCTGGGGTCCTTTCTCTGTCGGCCATCCCAGTCTCCTCCTTTCCCCTCCAGAGCCCATAATCCAACTGCTGTGACATCTTTTGCGGGAGGGAGGAGGTGCCCGCGATGCCACATGTGGCAGATTATGTGCCTTGGCTACCAATGGCGCTGTGTGTCTCGTGTGTGGTTTATGTCGTAGCGATTAGAAAGGCTCTCTTGCAAGGCTGACTCGGGAGGGAGGGCCTAGACCGTGCTGAGTGGGAAATGTCTTGGTTGTGGTTTTATTGTTGTTTGTTTTTTCTTCTAAGGAGGGGTGGGGAAGAGGGAGGGAAACCCAACTTTATACTAGTCCAAGCCTCTCTTTCCTGATGAGATTCCATGTTTCGTTGCCTTTCATGCGGCTGCAAGAATCCCAGGTGCTTGGCCACTCGGGCACCTGAGAATTTGCAGTCCAAGAAACCAGCAAAGGTTTTCTAGCCCTGGCTTCTTTTAGATTTCAGCTAGACTCCAGGCATTGTTGTACTATTATTTATTGATTTATTGATTTATTTCATGCATTTCTACCCCGCCCTTCTCCCCCCCCCCGCAAGGGGGGGGGCTCAGGGCGGCCTCACATCAGCATCATATGATGCTGTCAGCATATAAACAACAAGCGTTACAATTCAAACAGTAAAAAAAATCATTAAAACACATTATACAGATATATTACCAAGTTCATTAAACAATAAATTATAGATTCTAGTTAAAACCAAGACCAAGTCGGGTAAATCCAATGTCGCATATGTCCTGACTTTGCTTCCAATTGTTGCTATCCGTTAGACGAATACCTGGCTCCACAGCCAAGTCTTCAATTGTCTTCTCAATGACATTTCTGTATACGAACCCACACGATCTCTTCGTTCATCTGGAGAGGCCCTGCTCTCGATCCCACCTGCATCGCCAGCGCGATTGGTGGGGACGAGGGACAGGGCCTTTTCGGTGATGGCCCCACGACTCTGGAACTCCCTCCCCAAGGACATCAGGCAGGCCCCAACGTTGGCAGTTTTTAGAAGGCGCTTGAAGACGTGGTTGTTCCAGTGTGCCTTCCCAGAATAAGGAATCCCAAGCAATATGTCCCGAACGCACTTTATGAGAGAGTTAGTACTGTCTGCATGCCCACCTATCTTTAAAATATCCAACCTTTTTCCCTGGACATGCCCAGCATTTCAAAATTTTAATTCTTACATTTGGCCTTGCCACAGATTTTTAATTGCGTCGTGTCATTATTGTATTGTTTTGCTATGTTATGAGTTATTGTATTGTTGTTGTTTGGTTTTATGATGTATTTGGGCTTGACCTCTTGTAAGCCGCACCGAGTCCTGCGGGAGATGGTAGAGAGTATAAATAAAGGTATTATTATTATTATTATTATTATTATTATTATAGGAGGGAGGTGGCCATCCTGATGTCCTTAGGGAAGGAATTCCACAGACAGGGGGCCACTGCCGAGAAGGCCCTGTCTCTCGTTCCCACCAACCGCATTTGTGAGAGTGGTGGGATCAAGAGCAGGGCCTCTGGAGATCTTAAGCTTTGTGATGGTTCGTAACAGGAGATACGTTCAGACAGGTAATCTGGGCCAGAACCTTTTAGGGCTTTAAAGACTAAAACCAGCACTTTGAATTGTGCTCGGAAGCTGATTGGCAAACTTACCAAACTTTGAAAAACAAACAATGCCTTTCTCAAATAACCTAGGCACCGCCAGATCCCAATACTAATAAAAATATAAAAATAATGTATTTATTACCCGCCTTTCCTGATAGTTCAAGCTGGCCTCCTAATGTTTTTTAACAAGCACAAGTCTTGTTTTTCCAAGACTCATACTTGGAAAAATAGTGGTTTTGAACCACAGCCCTGCCCTCAGTGCAGCCATTCTCCATGCCGGTTGGGGGATTCAAAGAACTGTAATTGCCATAAGTAAGTTTTCCAAGCACAGTCTGAGGTCTGCTGACTTCTACCGCCTTCTCAAAAATCCTTCAAAAACATGACTCTTTCCTCAACTGAATGCCTCATCCCCTTTTCGGACTTCCCCTTCCATGTCACCACCATCCATCCACTTCACATTTGTCCTCCAGTTGTTTGCTGCCATGCTTTGGATCTCATCATCTTTTCTTCTTCCCATCCCACAGCTATTTTTAAAAGTATTATTTCTGGAGGCTGTTACAGAGAGAACTCTTTATAGGAAAAACACATGTATTGTTGCTTCTGAAGTCCGGTATTTATTTTTGTCTTCAGTTAATGGAGCCAGTAGCTGGTGCATGATGGTGGTTTGGATCTGTGTACTTCCAGCAGAAATATCTCAGAAGTGACAATGGACAGATCCTTTCTTTCTTTCCTAGTGCAAGATTCTGTGTGTTTACATGTGTATTAAAGATCTTTTTAATACACCTAGAAGACCTTCTTTAATGCACTTCTGTGTTTCATGTCTTCTAAAAGGCTTTTGAATTTGACATGCTTTTTATTCATTATCTTTTCATTGTACTTTTCATTATTCAGTGCAAGATGCCTTGGGTTCCATTTCTGGGAGAATGGCAGGATAGAAATAAGATACTGTAGTTAGAGCAGGCACGAGCAAACTTCGGCCCTCCAGGTGTTTTGGACTTCAGTTCCCACAAATCCTGAATTGTGGGCCTTGAAGTCTGAAATATGTTCTTGGAGAGCTACAAGATCTCCTGAATCCTGATGAAGAGCATCCTTTTGAAGAAAGGATGATGGACAACCTGTCTGTAAGTGTCAGAGAACAAGGTAGAGATCAGAAAGAGTTTCAAGCGGGAATGGACCAACTTGTGGCCTCCAGGTGTTTGGACTTAACTCCCACAAATTCTGAATTGTGGGCATTGAAGTCTGCAATATGTTCTTGGAGAGCTACAAGATCTCTTGGATCCTAATTGAAGAGCATCCTTTTCAAGACAGGATGATTGATGACCTATCTGTAAGTGTGAGAGATCATAAAGAGTTTGAAGCAGGAATGGTCCTACTTGGGCCCTCCAGGTATTTTGGACTTCAACTTCCACAAATCCTGAATTGTGGGCATTGAAGCTTGGAATATGTTCTTGGATGACCTGTCTGAACATAGGAGAGATCAGAAAGAGTTTCAAACAGGAATGGGCCAACTTGTGGCCTCCAGGTGTTTGGTCTTCACCTCCCACAAATCCTGAATTGTGGGCATTAAAGCTTGCAATATGTTCTTGAAGAGCTACAAGATCTCCTGAATCCTGAAGAAGATTATCCTTTTGAAGACCTGTCTGTAAGTGTCAGGGAACATGGTAGAGATCAGAAAGAGTTTGAAGTGGGAATGGACCAACTTGGGCCCTCCAGGTGTTTTGGTCTTCAACTCCCACAAATACTGAATTGTGGGCGTTGAAGCTTGCAATATGTTCTTAGAGATATACAAGATTTCCTGGATGAAGAGCATCCTTTTGAAGACAGGATGATCGATGACCTATCTGTAAGTTTCGGAGAACATGGTGGAGATCAGAAAGAGTTTGCAGCAGGAATGGGCCAACAACTTGTGCCCTCCAGGTGTTTTGGTCTTCAATTCCCAACAATCCTGAATTGTGGGCGCTGAGGACTTGCAATAGGTTCTTAGAGAGCTACAAGATCTCCTGGATCCTGACTGAAGAGCATCCTTTTGAGGACAGGATAATCGAAGACCTATCTGTAAGTGTCGGAGAACATGGTAGAGATCAGAAAGAGTTTGAAGTGGGAATGGGCCAACTTGGACCCTCCGGGTGTTTTGGACTTTAACTCCAACAAATCCTGAATTGTGGGTGTTTAAGCTTGCAATATGTTCTTGGAGAGCTACAAGATCTCCTGGATCCTAGCTGAAGAACATCCTTTCCAAGACAGGATGATCGATGACATGTCTGTAAGTGTCAGAGATCAGAAAGAGTTTGAAGTGGGAATGGGCCAACTTGGGTCCTCCAGGTGTTTTGGACTCCAACTCCCACAAATCCTGAACCGTGGGCGTTGAAGCTTGAAATATGTTCTTGGAGAGCTATAAGATCTTCTGGATCCTGACTGAAGAGCATCCTTTTGAAGACCTGTCTGTAAGTGTCAGAGAACATGGTAGAGATCAGAAAGAGTTTGAAGTGGGAATGGGCCGACTTGGGTCCTTCAGGTATTTTGGACTTCAACTCCCACAAATCCTGAATTGTGGGTATTGAAGTCTGCAATATGTTTTTAAAGAGCTACAAGATCTCCTGAATCCTAAAGAAGAGCATCCTTTTGAAGACAGAACGATCAATGATCTGTAAGTGTTGGAGAACATGGTAGAGATCAGAGAGAGTTTGAAGCGAGAATGGGCCTGCTTGGGCCCATCAGGTGTTTTGGACTTCAACTCCCACAATTCCTAACACCCTCAGGCCCCTTCCTTTTCCCACTTAAGTGGAAAGGGCTTGAGGCTGTTAGGAATTGTGGGAGTCGAAGTCCAAAACACCTGGTGCACCTAAGTTTGCTCATGTCTGTGTTAAAGAGTTGCACATCTCTTGTGTATCTGTTGGGTTCAAGCCCATCAGCTCATCTGGCCAAGGCTTACCCTTCTTTTAAGCAGTCCCAGGTGCAGTGTGCAGTTAGGAATTGTGGGAGTTGAAGTCCAAAACACTTGGACGGCCAAAGTTTGCCCATGCCTGTATTAAGAGTCACAACTCGGCTTCATTGGATGCTTCCCTGGAGGTTGGACCCAACAGTTGACTATTCACCCTCTTCTTTCCTTCAAAGGAACCTTCCCGTAATCTTTCCAAGTCTACCCTTCCCTTGCCCTCACATGGCTGAATCCCAAGCCAAGGGGGTGTTTGGCCATTGCCTTTCTGCCCAGCTGACCCATTGCTCTGCTGTGGAATGGCCCAAGCAGGAGGACCTCCCTCTCTTGTACTGATGTCTGTTGTTCTCTCCTAACACCTTTCTTCCAGTCGGGTGGCTCAGACCAGGAGAGGACAAAGAAGAAGCGCCGTGGGGACCGCTACTCCGTCCAGACCTCGCTCATTGTGGCCACTCTCAAGAAGATGCTGCCCATCGGCCTGAACATGTGCTCCCCAACTGACCAGGAGCTGATCAACTTGGCCAAGATACGCTACTCCCTGGTGAGGGGGCTTGGACACAGTTGGCTTTATTGATGAATGTAGCGCCATCTCTTGACATTTGTTTACGTGGCACTTCCTAAAGTCACACAACACAATAGGCAGCAAGTCCTGCCCAAGACATACACTCTAAAATACATCAACCTTTATTATTTATTCAAGTCTCATGCACCATCAAATCTAATGCGTACCTCAATGGTTTGAATCTGAGGAGTGGGGTGAGCTCCACCTGTCAGCTCCAGCTTCCTGTGCAGGAACATGAGAAAAGCCTCCCACAGGATGGTAACACATCTGGGCAGCGTCTTTGCAGACGGCCAATTATCTCACACCAGAAGTGACTTGCAGTTTCTCAAGTCGCTCCTGACATGAAAAAAAACAATGGAAAAGAAAACTTTGGGGTGGCTTACTTACTTACTTAGGCGATCTCTCGTTGGCCGAGTAGGATAGTTTTCCAGGATCAGTGTTTTGGTGGGTCCGTAGGTGACTGTGGGGCCTTATTTTTGATCTGCATCTTCTCCCGCAGTGAGGGCATTGGTTTCCAGGTGGAAGGCGGTCCCGGTCGCGGTTGGCTTGACACGCCTTCCTCTTGGCACGTTTCTCTCTTTCACCCTCCATTTGTGCCGCTTCAAATTCTGCAGCAGTGCTGGTCACAGCTGACCTCCAGCTGGAGCGCTCAAGGTCCAGGGCTTCCCAGTTCTCAATGTCTTTGCCAGAGATTTTAAGGTTGGCTTTGAGCCCATCTTTAAATCTCTTTTTCTGTCCACCAACATTCCTTTTCCATTCTTGAGTTCAAAATAGAGCAACTGCTTTGGGAGACGATGGTTGGGCATCTGGACAATGTGGCCGGTCCAGAGGAACTGATGGCGGAGGACCATCGCTTCAATGCTGGTGGTCTTTGCTTCTTCCAGCACACTGACGTTTGTCCGCCTGTCTTCCCAAGAGATTTGCAGGGGTGGCTTAATGCTATTGCATTATGGGGACTGTAGTTTTACAAGGTCTTGAGCTTTCCCTGACAAATACCTCACCAAACTGCAAATGCCAGGTTTGCATTGCATTAAGCCCTGACCATTAAATTAGAGATGACATCCCTCAAGCAAGAAATCCAAATGCTTCCCCTTTTGCTTTGGCCCAGCACTAAGATTACCGTATTGTCTGAATCCAACGTGCATCCTAATTTTGGTGAAGTTATTTAGCCCTGAAAGGTGAGCATTAGATTTGAGTTAATAGGATATTTCGTTTAGTTGTAGACCACCTCTTTAGGATATCGTTCTTTCCACTGTGACTTTCTAAAGTAATAACAGTGTCCATAAATAAAAAACCAGCCAACAATTTCAACCACTTCTGTGAACAGCTTAGTAAAGGTAAAAGTTTCCCCTTGACATGAAGTCTAGTTGTGTCTGATTCTGCGGGTGGCGCTCATCTCTGTTTCTAAGCCGAAGAGCTGGCGTTGTCCTGAGACACCTCAAGGTCATGTGACCAGCATGACTGCATGGAGCACCGTTACATTCCCACAGAAGCAGTACCTATTGATCTATTCACACTGGCATGTTTTCGAATTGCTAGGTTGGCAGAAGCTGGGGCTAACAGTGGGAGCTCACCCTGCTCCCCAAATTCAAACGGCCAACCTTTTGGTCAGCAAGTTCAGCAGCTCAGCGGTTTAACCAGGGGGTCCTGTGAACAGCTTAGTTCAGGTGGGACGGTTGTCATGTTCCTTTGCTCAGATGAATGCTCTCTTCTCTTTAGAAAGACACCGATGAGGAGGTGCGTGAATTCCTCAACAACAACCTACACCTTCAGGACAAGGTGGGTGCTGGTGCTGTATAAAGGAATACATGAGCAATTTGATAATATGCAAATGAGATTACTATACAAACCAAGCTGGTTTGTACTTTCTGGACCAATGTGGTGATGAGATGGATGGAGTGTCAGCTAGTGTTACAAAATGTGTAGGTTGTCACAAAACGATTGTCTCCACAAATTCCACAAACTGAAGTTTGTGGATGTATACCAGTTTGGCTGTTTTTCTTGATGATGATGATGATGATGATGATGATGATGATGGAAGAGAAACAGCTGGAAAAGCTGACACGATATGAGGATTTAAAGATCGAACTGCAAAGACTCTGGCACAAGCCAGTCAAGGTGGTCCCAGTGGTGATCGGCACACTGGGTGCAGTGCCTAAAGACCTTGGCCTGCACTTAAACACAATTGACGCTGACAAAATTACCATCTGCCAGCTGCAAAAGGCCACCTTACTGGGATCTGCACGCATTATTCGCCGATACATCACACAGTCCTAGACACTTGGGAAGTGTCCGACGTGTGATCCAATACAACAGCCATGTCTGCTGTGGACTCATCTTGTTGTGTTTCTAATAGTAGTAGTAGTAATAATAATAATAATAATAATAATAATAATAATAATAATAATAAATAAAAACTTTATTTATATACAGCTCTATCTCCCCGGGGGGACTCAGGGCAGTTTCCAAGTAACAACATCAAAACATACAGAGTCACAACATGAACAAAAAATAACAGTAACAGCAACATAAGCATGGAATTACCCAACAACACATAATATTAAAAGGAAAAATCCTGCCTGCTCGTTGTGTCTATTTGTTAGGGCAGGGGTCCTCAAACTAAGGCCCAGGGCCGGATACAGCCCTCCAAGGTCATTTACCCGGCCCTCTCAGGATCAACCTAAGTCTGAAATGACTTGAAAGCACACAACAACAACAACAACAACAACAATCCTATCTCATCAGCCAAAAGCAGACCCACACTTCCCATTGAAATACTAATAAGTTTATATTTGTTAAAATTGTTCTTAATTTTAATTATTGTATTGTTTTTAAGTGTTTTTGCACTACAAATAAGATATGTGCAGTGTGCATAGGAATTCATTCATTTTTTTTTCAAATTATAATCCGGCCCTCCAACAGTTTGAGGGACTGTGACCTGGCCCTCTGTTTAAAAAGTTTGAGGACCCCTGTGTTAGGGCATGGAAAAGGAATGGGTCAGAACAATTAAAAGATACAAATTGAAATAAGATGGGACCAGCATTTGGGTACACGACAAAAGTGGGATTGGGCTATTTCCAGGGGCCTGTTAGGAGAATGACCAGGGGGTTATATATAGGGGGCTAGGTCATGTCCGGACAGTGTCTGGGCTAAGCTAGCACTGGTCACTCTCGAAGATTTTTTGAAACCACTAAGTCTTCAAACTCTAACAAAAAGAGGGGAGGGATGGGGCCTGTCTTATTTCCCTTGGAAGAGCGTTCCAGAGGTGGGGGGGGGCACCACTGAGAAGGCCCTCTCTCGTCCCCACCAACTGTGCTTGTGACGGAGGTGGGAGCGAGAGGAGGGCGTCCCCAGAGGATTATAGAGTTTGCGCCGGTTCATAGCTAGAGATGCAGTTGCAAAGATAGGCTTTGCGACTGCATCTCTTCCTTTGTAGTTTTGTTATTGTCATTCAAGGAGTTCCTTGAGTTTGCCAAGTGTGTTCCCTGGTGCCAGAGGGAATGGGGGGTGGGTGGGACCAGCCCCCTCCCCACTCTCACAGAAGGAAATCTGCTCTCTATATTTCTCTGTTGCACTGATGCTCGCCTTTGCTTTGCAGTGTGAGAACTCCTCGTCCATGCGCTGGCAGATGGCTCTCTACAAAGAGATGTCTGGCAAAGCTGAGGACTCAAACAACCCAGAGAAGATTGTCAAGCGGGTTCAGGAGGTCTCCGCTGTGCTCTACCACTTGGAGCAGGTAAATAAAAGGAGCAAGCAGGACGATCTTCCCCAGTCCTGTTGGGGGTCTTCACTACAGTCACAGTCTTGTCCTTATGGAGGAGTTCATTCAAATTGCACCCTATAACAACAGGCACCACCTAAAATATGAACGCGTGCTCAATAAAATTATAAAGCCGTCAAAAGGAAGAGGGAGTATGGTTGTTGAAACAGCTGTATATTTAAATTTCTCTTTATTTTAATTGATGAAATATATCCCACTGATTATACCAATATCAGGGGAGATTAGAGCAGAGAAGGGGAGAGACACTTAGCATTTTAAAAGGTAGGTGTGCAGAAGTTATTAATACTTTGCATGTTTTAAACTGTATATATATGTGTTTGGGTTAGCTACAGTAATACTGGAGCAGCCTATTTCAGAGATCCTCAGTCAGAGTTACCACGGAGACCAAGGCAAGCTTGCAGAAGGAGGAGTGGGAGGAGCCAAGTGTAGAGAGTTTTGAAAACAGACAGTTGGAGAGTCAGTTGGGAGTTGATTTTGTATCTGAGAGGAGTAAAAGAGTGGAAGTGAAGAGTAGAGTGGGAGAGTGAAGTGTGAAGCAAAGAATTGTGGCTTTGGGAAGCCTGAATAGCTACTGGAGGTTTCTCAGTCTAAGGAGGCTGAAAGGAGAAACATAGCCAGTTTTCTTTAGTCAAGGGAAAGGCTAAAGGATAAGCTTGTTAATTTATTTGATCAAGGAAAGATCAAATAGGGAAGATATTCCTGTACTGAAACATTGTTTAGTAATAAGAGCTTCACCTCAGTGAGATACTGTGTAACCTGGAAGAGTGAAATGTTTAACTAACCAAGTATTATTCAAAGTTCTATAAATTAAGTTACAACTTGTAACCACACGCTTTGTACTCAATAAACCAGTTATCTTTTGTTGGAGACAGTCTCATCTCCATCCATTCTGCGTCTGTATTGCCATATCTCACAGTAATACCTCATATCTCACGTTGGTGGCAGTTACCATAGATTACATATAACAATTGGCCTCCACTATACCAGTTGGTGGCAGAATTCAGAGAAATAAACAATAAATCTCCCTCTACTCTCCTGTCACACGACAGCAGCGTGTGCTTTCTCTCCACTCTGATCACCTCCTCGCAGTAGGAACTGGGAAACACTAGAATTGAGAGACTCAAAATGCTTCTTCAAAAGAAAAGTTAAATAGCCTCTGACTGTCTGTCTATATCTGTTGTGTGTTGTAATCTGCCCTGAGTCCTCTGCAGGGTGAGAAGGGTGGAATATAAATATTGTAAATAAATAAATAGATAGATAGATAGATAGATAGATAGATAGATAGATAGATAGATAGATAGATAGATAGATAGATAGATGATAGATAGTGTAGGTTCAGAGAGGAGGAGAAGGGTGGGGGAATTGGATGGGAAGCTCAAGCAGTGGCCCACACGTCACCTTCCCTCCTCAATGAGCCTCATTTCCTGTGCCCCACAGACAGAGCACCCATATAAGTCAAAGAAGGCCGTGTGGCACAAACTGCTCTCCAAGCAACGCCGGCGTGCCGTGGTGGCTTGCTTCCGCATGACACCTCTGTACAACCTGCCCAGGTGAGTGGAGGTGAAAGGGAGGTTTTGCCTGTTAGTCCGGCAGTTTGTCTCTGGCTTCATCCATCTACACATCCCTCAACACTGATACAGAGAACCATAACGTGACTGGTTTAACGGATGGTCTGTTTTCCAGGCACCGGGCTTGCAATATGTTCTTGGAGAGCTACAAGATCTCTTGGATCCTGACTGAAGAGCATCCTTTTGAAGACAGGATGATTGACGACTTGTCTGTAAGTATCGGAGAACATGGTAGAGATCAGAAAGAGTTTGAAGCAGGAATGGGTCAACTTGGGCCCTCCAAGTGTTTTGGACTTCAACTCCCACCATTCCTAACAGCCTCAGGCCCTTTCCTTTTCCCTCTCAGCCGCTTAAGCGGCTGAGAGGGAAAAGGAAGGGGCCTGAGGCTGTTAGGAATGGTGGGAGTTGAAGTCCAAAACACCTCGAGGCCTCAAGTTAGCCCATACCTGCTTTGCAGTGATGCACAGGTCTGAACAGGCTGCTCCTGAACCAAATGCAGCCATTGCTTGTGAGTCCAAACTAATGTATAATGTGGCCATGCTTCTCTCTCTCTTTCCTATGTTGGGGAATGGGATGTAGAAACCAGGAGAGGAGGAGGAAGAGGAAGAGGAAGAGGCCGAAAAAAAGCCTGACCCCCTGCATCAGCTCATCCTGCACTTCAGCAGGACAGCCCTGACAGAGAAGATGTGAGTCATGGGAAGAGAGGGACGGATCGGAGCAACAATGTCATTTTTCCATCTTCTCCTGCTTTGAGAAAATCCCTGGAGATTTCATTTTTCAGGGATGACTCCCAATTCAGGAATTGTATCATCGAAGGCTTTCATGGCCGAAATCACTGGGTTGTTGTAGGTTTTTTCGTGCTATATGGCCATGTTCTAGAGGCATTCTCTCCTGACATTTTGCCTGCATCTATGGCAAGCATCCTCAGAGGTAGTGAGGTCTGTTGGAACTAGGAAAATTGGGTTTATATATCTGTGGATTGTCGGGGGACAATGTGAAATCAATGGGTTGTTGTAGGTTTTTTCGGGCTATATGGCCATGTTCTAGAGGCATTCTCTCCTGACGTTTTGCCTGCATCTATGGCAAGCATCCTCAGAGGTAGTGAGGTCGTGGAGCAACTCTTTTTTCTCAGATACAGCGTCAGGGAGGTGGAGGTGATAGAAGTAGTACAACACACTCGAAAAGCACCAAGCAGAGACCATTCTGACTTTTTCACCAGAGAGGCATGTTTGTTTCTTAGAGACCTAGGATTGCTAAAGCAAAAACGATAGACCGTGTGTTCTATGATTGTGTAGAAGAGAGAATTTCAGCATTGTTTAAATCCTGACCCCACTCTGCTTTCTTTCAGCAAATTGGAGGTAGACTATCTGTACATGGCTTATGCTGACATCATGGCAAAGGTGAGCAAGAGATGGGGGCTTACCCCTGGGAAATCTATTTTAGTCGCTCTCATTTTAAATATCGTGTTACGCAAGCAGTTTCAGAGCCCTCATCATACAGTCTACATCTGATCAAGGGTCTGGAGAACAAGCCCTATGAGGAACGGCTTAAGGAGCTGGGCATGTTTAGCCTGAAGAAGAGAAGGCTGAGAGGAGATATGATAGCCATGTATAAATATGTGAGGGAAAGTCATAGAGAGGAGGGAGCAGGCTCCTTTTCTGCTGCCCTGTAGACTAGGACGCAATGGAACCAGAGGAGGGCGACTAAAATGATCAAGGGTCTAGAGAACAAGCCTATGAGGAGTGGCTTAAGGAGCTGGGCATGTTTAGCCTGAAGAAGAGAAGGCTGAGAGGAGATATGATAGCCATGTATAAATATGTGAGAGGAAGACACAGGGAGGAGGGAGCAAGCTTGTTTTCTGCTTCCTTGGAGACTAGGACGCGGAACAATGGCTTCAAACTACAAGAGAGGAGATTCCATCTGAACATGAGGAAGAACTTCCTGACTGTGAGAGCCGTTCAGCAGTGGAACTCTCTGCCCCGGAGTGTGGTGGAGGCTCCTTCTTTGGAAGCTTTTAAACAGAGGCTGGATGGCCATCTGTCAGGGGTGTTTTGAATGCAATATTCCTGCTTCTTGGCAGAATGGGGTTGGACTGGATGGCCCATGAGGTCTCTTCCAACTCTTTGATTCTATGATTCTATGTACAGTAGATGTATAGTGGTGCAGTGGGTTAAACCCCTGTGCCGGCAGGACTGAAGACCGACAGGTCTCAGTTTCAAATCCGGGGAGAGGTGGATGAGTTCCCTCTATCAGCTCCAGCTCCTCATGCGGGGACATGAGAGAAGCCTCCCACAAGGATGACAAAAACATCAAATCATCGGAGCGTCCCCTGGGCAACGTCTTTGCAGACGGCCAGTTCTCTCACACCAGAAGCGACTTGCAGTTTCTCAAGTCACTCCTGACACAAAAAAAAAATCTGTACAATAGAGTCTCGCTTATCCAACCTTCTCTCATCCAACATTCTGTATTATCCAACGTAGCCTGCTTCCTTACTGGATCCATTACTGTTTCAATACATTGCTATGTTTTGGTACTAAATTCGTAAATACAGTAATTACTACATAACGTTACGTTATACTGAACTGCTGTTTCTGTCAATTTGTTGTAAAACATGATGTTTTGGTGCTTAATTTGTAACGTGATTTGACATTTAATAAGCTTTTCCTTAATTCCTCCTTATCCAACATTTTTGCTTATCCAGTGTTCTGCCAGCCCATTTATGTTGGATAAGTGAAACTCCACTGTCAGGCCTGTAGCTTGGGGGGGGGGGGGGGTTTCTCTCGTGTCCCCGCATGAGGAGCTGGAGCTGATAGAGGGAGCTCATCCGCCTCTCCCCAGATTTTAACCTGAATTTTTTCAGGTTAAAAAAACCTAATTTTTGGCTATTTTTGGCCTTACTAACCTTGCATACCTTGTATCTTATACCTTTTACGGAGCAATAAGGGTCTTTGGGCTGTTGGTGTTGTGTTATTGAACTATTACTCTTCATGATTTGCTTAAAAAAAAGTTTCAACCCCCCCCCCCTCAATTTTTTCTGGCTACAGCCCTCTCCACTGTGCTTTTTACATTGTATAGATACAAAGTGGCTGCCACTTTTTTGAAGGTTGAGAAGTATGGGGTATAAATGGTCTAAAATAAATAAATAAATAAATAAATAAATAAATAAATAAATAAAAATGGTGGCATTGTACGTTCCAGCATCCCCTTAGCCAACATGGTAAAAAATCTGCAAGTTGCAATTCAAAAGGGTCTGGACTGCCACACAGTTCAATCTCCTGCAGTACCGTATATACTCGAGTATAAGCTGACCTGAATATAAGCTGAGGCAACTAATTTTGCCACAAAAAACTAGGAAAATTAATTGACTTAAATATAAGTCGAGGGTGGAAAATCCAGCAGCTACTAGTAAATTTCAAAATAAAAATAGATGCCAATAAAATTATATTAATTGAGGCATCCATAAGTTAAATTTTTTGAATATTTACATAATTTAAGATAAGACTGCCCAACTCTGATTAAACCATTATTCTAACCTTCTTCAGTGTAAATGTGCTTACATATCCTTCCAATAATAACAATAATAGAGTAAACTAATAATTGTAATAATAACAAATAGAGTAAAATAACAAATGTAATAATAACAACAATAATGAAGTAAAATAATGCATGTAATAATAATAGTAAAGATGGTCCCAGTGGTGATCAGCACACTGGGTGCAGTGCCTAAAGACCTTGGCCTGGACTTAAACACAATCAACGCTGACAAGATTACCATCTGCCAGCTGCAAAAGGCCACCCTGCTGGGATCTGCATGCATTATTTGCCAATACATCACACAGTCCTAGACACTTGAGAAGTGTCCGACGTGTGATCCAATACAACAGCCAGCAGAGTGATCTTGTTTGCTGTGGACTCATCTTGTCGTGTTTGAAGTAATAATAGAGTAAAATAATGCATGTAATAATAATAATAATAATAATAATAATAATAGAGTACAATAATAATAATAATAATAATAGAGTACAATAATAAATGTGATAATAACAATAATAAATAGAGTAAAATAAGAAAAGTAATAATAATAATAACAAGTAAAATAATAGCTAATTTTGACTCGAATATAAGCTGAGGCACCTAATTTTACCACAAAAAACTAGGAAAATGAATTGACTTAAGTATAAGTCGAGGGTGGAAAATGCAGCAGCTACTAGTAAATTTCAAAATAAAAATAGATACCAATAAAATTATATTAATTTAGGCATCAGTAGGTTAAATGTTTTTGAATATTTACATAAAACTGTAATTTAAGATAAGACTGTCCAACTCTGATTAAACCTTATTATTCTAACCTTCTTCAATGCAAATATGCTTACATATCCTCCAATAATAATAGAGTAAAATAATAATAATAAATGTAATAATAAAGTAAAATAATACATGTAATAATAATAAATATAATAATAAATGTAGTAAAATAATAATAGAGTAAAATAATAGAAATGTAATACTAATAGTAATAATAGAGTAAAATAATACATGTAATAATAATAATAGAGTATAATAATAAATGCAGTAATAATAAATAGAGTAAAATAATAAATATAATAAATATAATAATAAAAAGAAGAATAACAAGTAAAATAATTAACTTTGACTCAAATAGAAGCTGGGAAGGGGGGCTTTTTCAGCCTTAAAAAAGGACTGAAAAACTCAGCTTAAACTCAAGTATGTATGATAACTTAACACACAAAGCCGAAGCTTTTCCTTTTGAGACTGGAAAGGACATGCTGCTCTTGCTTTCTTTCTATGTACAAGCCTGTTGTTAGCTGCATGCAAGTAGAGCCAATGGAGCAGAGATGGGCAACTGTGTGGAGGGCAGGGACACTTTCTTCTCCATCAGTAACAATATGGTTTTTTTAATGTCCTTCCACATATGTTGCTGCTGAACTCTAGAGTTGCCACATAAATGAAGGTGAAGAGGGTGAAGAGGGAGAAGAAGGGGAAGAATCTGAACTTTCCTTTGAGGTAAGTACGGCATCTGCATACAGCTTCTTCCAATGTTTCAGCGTAGCTATGTCCATCCTTCGTCAAAACTTTCTTCCTGTCCATAAAACCTAGCCACTTGTGTGTCTTTTCTTTGCAAACTTGCCCTATTTATCATGTCAGGAGCAAAACAAACAGTTGTATTGCATTTTTAACAAACAAAGCACAAAGTTTGGAAGATTGGTAGTTGATTAAATGTCCTTTGACCAGTATCTGGCCACTTGGAGTGTCTCTAGTATTTCTATAAGAAGGTCCTCCATTGTGCATGTGGCAGGGCTCAGGTTGCATTGCAGCAGGTGGTCTGTAGTTTGCTCTTCTCCACACTTCGCATGTCATGGATTCCACTTTGTGGCCCCATTTCTTAAGGTTGGCTCTGCATCTCGTGGTGCCAGAGTGCAGTCTGTTCAGCACCACACAGCTGTGTCTGGTTGTGATGCCCAGGTTGTGCCAGTCAGCTTTTGTATGATATTGTTTCTAGCACCCAGTTTTTGCTTGATATTCAGGCAGTGCTTCTTGTAGGTCAGAGCACAGTCCAGGGTAACTCCCAGGTATTTGGGTGCGCTGCAATGCTCCTGTAGGATTTCTTCCCAGGTCATCCTCAGAGCTTGGGATGCTTCTGTTCTTGAGGTAAAAGGCACATGTCTGTGTTTTAGATGGATTAGGGATCAGCTGGTTTTCCCTGTAATAGGCAGTAAGAGCACCTAGATCTTCGGAGAGCTTCTGTTCAACCATCTCAAAGCTCCCTGCTTGAGCAGTAATGGCATGATCGTCAGCATAGATGAAGCTCTTTGTCCCTTCTGGCAGTGGCTGGTCATTTGTGTAGATGTTGAACATGGATGGAGCAAGCATGCTCCCCTGAGGCAGGCCGTTCTTCTGTTTCCGCCATCTGCTTCTCTGGCCCTGGAACTCAACAAAAAAGCTCCTGTTTTGTAGCAGGTTTCCTATGAGGCGGGTGAGGTGGTAGTCCTTTGTGATATTATACATTTTACTCAGGAGGAGGCGGTGGTTTACAGTATCATAAGCCGCTGACAGGTCTATGAAGACAGCTCCTGTGATCTGCTACTCCCCGCTGGATTGCAAGACATCCGAGCGTCCCCTGGGCAACGTCTTCATAGACAGCTGATTCTCTCACTCCAGAAGCAATCAGAAGCGACTTGCAGCATGCAAACTTGCCCTGAGGTTCAAGATAGATAGATGCTGTACATACATTTCAAAAGTTGTTTTATTGATCCCAGAGCAGTACACACCATTTATTAGTACTTTAAAAAGCAGGTAGGATTAGAACTGGGCAGCTGAGCCTGAAGGATGGCAGAACTATAGAAGCTTTACATCACGGGCTGAGATATAAATCATTAAGTCACATGATTTCCCAGACCAGAGAGAGAATGAGTTGCTATGTAGATGCTCCAGACCAAAACCTTTGTCACTATTTTAACAGTGCCAAAATCCCATGTTGTACCACTGTAACCATCCTAGCACTCTCCTCCTGCAGGTAATATACAGCTAGGTAGCCTGTCATTGATTCCTAGCCATCACCTCGTGTTTTCTTGCCACTTTGCAGGAGAAGGAGATGGAAAAACAGAAACTTCTGTATCAACAATCCCGGTTGCACAACCGAGGGGCAGCCGAGATGGTTCTGCAGATGATCAGCGCCTGCAAAGGTAGAGGCAATCCTTTCTCTCCCCATCTCTTACCCTACAACAGATGGATTGTATAGGCCCGATCATTTCGTTCCAAGATATGACAGTTCAAGATGGGCCAGTAGAGAGCAGTGAGAGACTTGGAAAGCTGCTCATCCAGTGTTTTCTCTTCAGATACCTTCATTTTTAGAAGGAAAACCCAAGCAACTATTCCTAGGAATCTGGTTATGTTTCAGGCACAGCTGGGACTGGGAAAACATTTCAAGCTGCTGAACTATCACATCAAAACGTCCAGAATCAAAACCATAGCTTGGAGAGTAGCATTGGGCTTGATATCTTCTAGGATCTAGCATTATTTGTACTTTTTTTCCTCATCATCATTGACCAGAACATGCCTTGGTATGTGTTGGCTGGGATTGTGGGGATTGTAGGCCAGTGTATCTCAAGGAGGACCAGATATGGGAAGGCTGTATCAACTCCCAACTTAGACTATACAGCTTGAATCATTCAATAGGGAAAGGAGATACCTAGACTAATACCAGCTACAAAGTTCAAGTTCAAGACAGAAGCCATAATTTTTCCTCTCTTTGAATCTTGTTAGGGGAGCCTGGTGCCATGGTGTCTTCCACATTGAAACTGGGCATCTCCATCCTGAATGGCGGCAACGAGGAAGTGCAGCAGGTATGGAGGAAAGGAAAAAATAATTCTTGGGAAGTTGCTCTTGTTAGGGCAGAGCATCAAGAGCATCCAAAAATACAGGATACTTAAATGGCAGAGCATCTAAAAATCAAACAGGATACTAAAATGGCAGAGCATCCAAAAAAACAAACAGGATACTAAAATGGCAGAGCATCCAAAAATCAAACAGGATACTAAAATGGCAGAGCATCCAAAAATCAAACAGGATACTAAAATGGCAGAGCATCCAAAAATCAAACAGGATACTAAAATGGCAGAGCATCCAAAAATCAAACAGGATACTAAAATGGCAGAGCATCCAAAAATCAAACAAGATACTAAAATGGCAGAGCATCCAAAAATCAAACAGGATACTAAAATGGCAGAGCATCCAAAAAACAAACAGGATACTTAAATGGCAGAGCATCCAAAAATCAAACAGGATACTAAAAGCTGAGCATTCAGCCTATTAGCGAGCAAAGTGTGGAGTGCTGTGTGATGTGACTGTAAAGAATTTGGAACTTAGGCAGGCAAGAGACAGAATTCAGTCTTAAAAATCACAAAAAGGTGTATTTCCAATTGTAAGTAATAACTGCATTTCTTAATAAGTAAAGAATTGGGTCTGAGCTACTCTAACACCCATCTCTTCTAAGGTTTCAGGAGAGGGAAAAACTCAATCACTGCATCTCTCCTGACACACAAGCAGAGAGAGATCTCAAAGCACACAGCACATACTCTCCATACTAAAGTCAATTTCAAAAAGGCTTGCAATAGAAAAGTATCCCTTTTAAACAACCAATCAGAATGAGAGCAGAAACAGAGACGTGAGACGAAAGAGATATGTTCCCAACTGTCATACAGGAGACTTGGGAGAAGGGAAACCCTCAGACTATTATAAACTGCTCCTTGTTGAGGGCTTGAGACTTGGGCAGTGTGGGGTTGAATTCCGACAGCACTTGTGCATGTTTAGTTGTTTAATGTATCATGTAATCTGGCTTCTGGAAGAACTGGCACCGGGACTGTGGAGCAGCTGGCTGAGAGTCAGCTGCATTCAGATCACTACTGGCCAAAAGGTCATGAGTTCAAAGCCAGGCCAGATCGGAGTGAGCTTCTGACCAATTTGTATAGCTTGCTGTCGACCCTTTGAAGGCCGAAAGACAGTTGCATCGGTCAAGTAGGAAATTTAGGTACCGCTTATGCAGGGAGGCTAATTTACGATCGCCATAAAAATCTCCAGCAAGCATGCAAAAAATGAGGAAGTACTTCATCAGTGTCACAAATGGACGGTGAAGCGACAGCTCCCCTGGTGGCCAGAATACCCTCATGAAAAAGCTGGAATATTAAATAGCCTCTGTGTGTCTGTCTATATATGTTGTGTGTCTATGGCATTGAATGTTTGCCATGTATATGTACATTGTAATCCGCCCTGAGTCCCCTGCGGGGTGAGAAGGACGGAATATAAATACTGTAAATAAATAAAATAAATAGCAATGAGGCTATCTTCCCTACTGATAATTGATTTCTTCCTGTCTTCAGAAAATGCTGGATTATCTGAAGGAGAAACGTGAAGTGGGGTTCTTCCAGAGCATCCAAGCACTAATGCAGACATGCAGGTTTGTAGCAGTGACGATCTTGTTCTTCCCCCACTCTGTATTTCTGCTTTCTGTTGTACCTTCTCACCCTTGCTTCTCACGTTTGACAATTAGAACCCAGTAAGATATTGGATCCTCCTGGCTTCGAAGGCAATTGGTGGGGCATCCCACACCATGAGTTACTTTGTGTTGCCAGAGGGCACTTTTGAGCAAAGCTATTGCTTTGCATCCAGGCTAGACTCTAGCATGGGTTATCCTAAACCAGTGGTTCTCAACCTGTGTGTCCCCAGGTGTTTTGGCCTACAACTCCCAGAAACCCCAGCCAGTTTACCAGCTGTTAGGATTTTCTATGAGTTGAAGGCCAAAACATTTGGGGACCCACAGAACCACTGTCCTAAACGCAGGGCCACTTACACTGGATGTCTTGGGAAGCTCCCCTTTTAAATTTCCCAGAACCAGCACCATTTGTGACATTGTAGGAAAGCAAAATGGCCACTCAGCCTAAATGGGGGGAAAACATAATGAGGGGCTAGGGCTGGCATCAACACTGCCCCATTGGAGTGCTGACCTGATGTGAAGATGAACTGGTTCCACTTCTGGGGGTGATTATGACTGACAGGTGGGAAGTTGCATCTATCTTGGCCAAGAGAAATAAGGATCGGGGGCTTCACCATTTGCACCTTCAGCCATCCATTGTCCTGCTATCCAGGGACGGCTGAAGCAATAGGCACGATACGCATTTGCGTATAGCGCGAATCCCTGAGGAGTGCTCACCTATGTGCCTTCCTTGGCTTCCTTGGCCAGTCTTGCATGCCCCCTCCTCCTCACCTGTACCAGGTAAGCCCCTTCCTGTTTACACAGTCAAAGAAGTGGGGCTCAGGGCCAAGGGCTTGACACCAAGGGCGCGGACGTCAGGGTGTGGGCGGAGGAACTCGAGGAGGACACACTTCTGTTAGGAGTGGTGGGAGTTCTGGTAAGAATGGTGGGAGTTGAAGTCCAAAACACCAGGAGGGCCCGAGTTTGCCCATACCTGCTCTATCCCCTCTTAAGCTCTGTTCCTTTGCTCTCCTGGCCCGGTTTTCCATCCTCTCCTTCATTCAACAGTGTGCTGGATCTCAATGCCTTTGAGCGACAAAACAAAGCCGAAGGACTGGGAATGGTGACAGAAGATGGAACGAGTAAGTCTCCTTCTGCCCCATTTTGAGCCTCTGTGAAGAGTCCTCTAGGCCCATGTTGTCCCTATCAGCTCTCCTACCCTCTCTAGTTCAGCCCATCCTGTCCCTATCACTGTTGCCCTAAAGATGTTTACCTGTCTGTTTGCCTCCTACAGTGAGGCTATCCAGCTGCCAGGTATTTTTCCAATACCACTTTGAAGCCAATTACCAAAATCTGATTTAATTTCCAAATTAGCTGCTGGAGAGATTTCTTTCCATCTTCTCTGCCTCTGGAAACAGAGCAAGCTGTGAATGATGTGGGAAGAGATCATCAAGTTTTCAGACGGGACCAAATTGGGAGGAAGAGTCAAGACTCCGGAAGACAGGAGCAGAATTCAAAACAGTCTTAACAGATTAGAGAAGTGATTGGCCAAAACTAACACAGTGAAGTCCAACAGAGACAAATGCAAGATACTCCACTTAGGCCGTGGTTCTCAACCTGTGGTTCCCCAGGTGTTTTGTCCTACAACTCCCAGAAATCCCAGCCAGTTTACCAGCTGATAGGATTTCTGGGAGTTGAAGGCCAAAACATCTGGGGACACACAGGTTGGGAACCACTGGTCTAGAGTGATAGTGGTCCAGGCACAAAGTCAATGCTCAGTTCTATCAACTCTCCTCCTCATCTCCACTTTCTCCCTGCTTCAGATTAGAGAGATGGTCCAAAACTAACAAAATGAAGTTCAACAGTGACAAATGCAAGTCACTCCACTTAGGCAGAAAAAAAATTAAATGCAAAAGTAAAGAATGGGGGATGCTGGCTCGATAGGAGTACATGTGGAGCCCTTGTGTACAACAAGCTATGCATGAGCCAACAATATCATGTGGCAGCTAAAAAAGCCAATGAGATTTTGGCCTGTATAAATAGGAGTCTAGTGCTTAGATCCAGGAAAGTCATGCTACCCCTCTATTCTGCCTTGTTCAGACCACACCTGGAATACTGTGTCCAATTCTGGGCACCACAACTGAAGGGAGATGTTGACTCTAAGCTGGAATGTGTCCAGAGGAGGGTGTCTAAAATGATCAAGGGTCTTGGAGAACAAGCCCTATGAGGAGTGGCTTAAAGAGCTGGGCATGTTTAATCTGCAGAAGAGAAGGCTGAGAGGAGACATGATGAGGACCATGATCAAGATATGAGGAGGTCATAGGGAGGAGGGAACAAGCTTGTTTTCTGCTGCCCTGGCGGAATAATGGCTTCAAACTACAGAAATGGAGATTCCACCTGAACATGAGGAAGAACTTCCTAACTATGAGAGCTGTTCAGCAGTGGAACTCTCTGCCCTGGAGTGTGGTGGAGGCTCCTTCTTTGGAAGCTTTTAACAGAGGCTGGATGGTAATCTGTCAGGGGTGCTTTGAATGCAATTTTCCTGCTTCTTTGCACCGTTGGAGGGCCCACAACGTCTCTTCCAACTCTAGGATTCTATGATTCTAAGAAATGGGGCAGTTTGGGAACTTAGCTTTCTGGGTCCTTTCTCGACCTTTGGCCACAGTGGGATGCCTAGTTTGGCTTCTCTTCCTCTCTCTCTGGGAAGGAGCAGAAGAGCGGCTTTGCAGTCCAAGGCTGCTGATAAACAGGGCTTCCCTTGCCACAATCCTGGCCATAGATCAGACGGACCACATCATGGCCTCCTTTCCCCTGGTGCTCTGCCTCTTCTTTTTGTGTTCACAGCTTCCTCCTGGTGAGACGTGGATTCATTGATATTCCTAAAAATCAATAATGGATTCTCATGCTCTCCACCTTTTTTTGCCTCGGTTTTTTTTTGGTCCCATCCGTTTCTTCATTCCACATTAATGTTGTGTTAATACATGCTGGGTTTTTTGGACTCTTTTCCTTTTCTGTTGTTGTTAATCATCTCCTTTTCCTTCTTTGCTGTGATGTGTTGCACTCACCTCCTTTCTCCCCTCCCTCCCTCCTTCTTCTCCTCCCTTCCCTCCCCCTCTCCTGGTCTCACTGATGCCCTTCCCTCAGTCATCAGTCGTGAAAATGGTAAATAATCTGTTTGCTTTGGTTCAGTTTAATCTTTTTTTTCCCCTTTTCTTTAATGGTTAGCTACTGTATTTGTTTATTTTAATGGCTCTTTCTAACCCAATGGGTCCTAAGACTGAAAACTGATCAGAACCCCCCCCCCCCCCTCCCATTCTGGCTTAGCACCACAAGGCTTGGGGAATGGGCTGCGTATCCAGGGCTGTGGTCTTTGAGGGGATACAAGGCAAGGATAAAGGCCAAGAATCAAAAAGGCTGCAGGAAGGGATGGAGGCAGGTGGTTTGCATTGCCGGAAACAGCCATAATATCATCTCCCTGCGGATATATTGATCTGCTAGAGCAATACTTGAGGTCATCAAGCAGTTCTGCCTAGACCTAGGAAAACTCAATCAATCCCATGATAGGATTAGCTGATGCTTGTACCAGACAAGAAGTCATACTCTGGGTTGTTGTAGGTTTTTTCGGGCTATATGGCCGTGTTCTAGAGGCATTTCTCCTGACGTTTCGCCTGCATCTATGGCAAGCATCCTCAGAGGTAATGAGGTCTGTTGGAAATAGGACAATGGGTTTATATATCTGTGGAATGGCTGGGGTGGAGCAAAGAGCTCTTCTCTGCTGGAGCTAGGTGTGAATGTTTCAACTGACCACCTTGATTAGCATTTGATGGCCTGTCAGTGGGGAGATGGTGGCGGGGTATAAATAAATATTATTATTATTATTATTATTATTATTATTATTATTATTATTATTATTATAGTAGGATCTGCAAAAATACTTCAGCTGCAGACATTCAATGCCATAGACACACAACATATATAGACAGACACTCAGAGGCTATTTAACATTCCAGCTTCTGGCCACCAGGGGAGCTGTCACTTCACGGTCCATTTGTGACACTGATGAAGTACTTTCCTCATTCTTTGCATACTTCCTGGAGGTTTTTATGGAAATTAGCCTCCTCACATAAGTGGTATCTAAATTTCCTACTTGACAGATGCAATTGTCTTTCAGGCTGCAAAGGTCAACAACAAGTTACGCAATTTTGGTTGGGAGCTCACTCAACACATATAGACAGACAGTTAGAGGCTATTTAACATTCCACTTTTCTGGCCGCCAGGGAAGCTGTCGCTTTCATCGTCCATCTGTGGCACTGATGAAGTACTTCCACATTCCCCGCATGCTTTATGGCCTCGTAAAATAGGTGGTACCTAAATTTCCTACTTGACAGATGCAACTGTCTTTTGTTTTGCAAAGGTCGACAACAAGCTAAACAATTGTCGGAAGCTCATTCCGACCAGGGCTGGCTTCGAACTCATGACCTTTGGGTCAGAAGTGATATTAATGCAGCTGACACTCAGCCAGCTGCGCCACAGTCCTGAATTTGTCTCCTCTTCTTCTTAACTAAAAGCAGAGTATGGGAAAAGACGAATTTATGCTCCATTATACTTAGAGCAAACGCTCCCCTTGATAAGATAGTTGCAGGTATTGATAGTACCAACTGCACCATTTCAGGCTCCATTCTGCCTGCTTCATTGGACGGGGTTCTGATCAGTTTTGGGGGAGGGGGTAGATTTGTGGGCCTGGCAAAGAGTCTTCAACTCCATTTGGCGCATGACCAGCTTTTTTAAAAGCCCTCCTCAGAGCTATATCTTATTGCCCTGCCCTCAAGCTGTCAGGCTGGTGCTGAGCACACTAACCGCATACCGTTCACCCACCCAAAGGTTTCAATTCTGGTCTTCAGAGCTATGCTCTTGCAGGTGGTGCCGCCTCCCACATCCCTTTGCAGAGCCCTCCACGAAAGGGGCTTGGTGGGCTTCTGCCCATTGGATGGAAAGACAGGTCACACTTCTCTAGAAATGCAAACATGCACCACCAGCATCAAATTAAGGAAGCATTCCCTGTGGATCCTCAGTCAAGTCTGGAGTGTAGACGCACCACTTGACACCCGGCCACATGCCCTCACGCTTCGTCGCAAGCACAATGATCCCTCAAAATGTGACCTCTGTCTTTATATTATCTGTGTAGTAACACTGTGAAATGATAACCATTCAGGATGTAAGTGTAACTCTGTTGCTGCACTGTTGCAATGAATTATTTGGTAGCTAGCAATGTGGCCTTTTTGTAACAATTTGCTATGAAAACGTCGCAATCTTGTGGCAATGTAGTATTTATGGCACAGTCTTGTATTTGTGCAATTTATATGTATATATAACCACATTTATTCGAGTCTAATGCACCATCGAATCTAATGCGCACCTCAATTTTCAAAACCCTGAAGCCAAAAAAAAGTATGTAATGCGCAGCGGCAAAATGTGCATTCTATAACTTGGACATTAAAGCTGCAGCCGCAACACCAAAGCTTTCAGTAATGGAAAAATAAGACTTGGGGTTGTAGGTTTTTTCAGGCTATATGACCATGTTCTAGAGGCATTTTCTCCTGACGTTTCGCCTGCATCTATGGCAAGCATCCTCAGGGGTAGTAGGAAAATGGGTTTATATATCTGTGGAATGACCAGGAATAGATGCAGGCGAAACGTCAGGAGAAAATGCCTCTAGAACATATAGCCCCAAAAAACCTACAACAACCCAGTGATTCCGGCCATGAAAGCCTTCGACAATACATAAAACTTGGGGTGCATCTTTGCTTCAAAATGAATCCACTTTAACTGTCTTGATTCAGTGCTATGGGGGCTGTAGTTTTACAAGGTCTTGAGCCTTCTCTGCAGATGCCCCTCCAAGCTACAAATACCAGGATTGCATAGCATTGAGCCATGATAATGAAATGAGTTATGATGTCCCTCAAAGAAGAGCTTCAGGTACACCTCCTGAAGCAGCTTCCCCTTTTGCTTTGGCTCAGCGCTAAGATTACCATATTATGTGAATCTAATCCAACTGCGCCCATACCTTGGAAAATCTGACTTGTCCACGGTGGTCCATGCTCTTATTACATCCCGAATAGATTACTGCAATGCACTCTACGTGGGGCTGCCTTTGAAGACTGTTTGGAAGCTTCAAATGGTCCAAAGGGCGGCAGCCAGGTTACTAACAGGAGTGGCGCTCAGGGAACACACTACTCCTCTGTTGCGTCAACTCCACTGGCTGCTAATTTGCTCTTGTTACATCCCGAATAGGTTACTGCAACACGCTCTACATGGGGCTGCCTTTGAAGACTGTTTGGAAGCTTCAATTGGTCCAAAAGGCCGCATCCAGGATACTAACAGGAGCGGCACTCAGGGGACACACTGCTCCTGTTTTGCATCAGGTAAGAGGCGCAGTGGGTTAAACCCCTGTGCTGACAGGACTGCAGACCGACAGGTCGCAGGTTCGAATCCGGGGAGAGGCAGATGAGCTCCCTCTATCAGCTCCAGCTCCTCATGCAGGGACATGAGGGAAGCCTCCCACAAGGTTCGAATATGGGAAGAGCACAGATGAGCTCCCTCATTCAGCTCGAGCTCCCTATGTAGGAACGAGAAAAGCCTCCACAGGATGGTAAAAACATCAAAACATCCGGGCATCTCCTGGGCAACGTCCTTGCAGACGGCCAATTCTCTACACCAGAAGCAACTTGCAGTTTCTCAAGTCACTCCTGACACAACAAAAAAAATGCCCACCAACTCCAACGGCTGCCAGTTTGCTACCGAGCACAATTCAAAAGTGCTGGCTTTAGCCTATAAAGCCCTAAACATTCCGCCCAGCTTACCTGTCTGAATATCTCCTCCTATGAACCATCTAGGACTTAATACAATGTTGTGCTGCTCTCCATCCCGCCTGCCTTGCTAGTGCGATTGGCAGAAACAAAGGACAGGGCCTTCTCAGCGGTGGCCCCCTGGCTATGGAACTCCCTCCCCAAGGATATTAGGTCAGTCCCCTCACTCCTGACTTTCCGAAAAATAGTAAAGACCTGGCTCTTTGAGCAAGCTTTTGAGAATGCAGCGGGATAGATAACACAGAACTATGAATGATGGACATGGAATGGCCAGACAATGCTACTGGATAACGCAGTGGTTCTCAACCTGTGGGTCCCCAGATGTTTTTGGCCTTCAACTCCCAGAAATCCTAACAGCTGGTAAACTGGCTGGGATTTCTGGGAGTTGTAGGCCAAAACATCTGGGGACCCCAGGTTGAGAACCACTGGTTTTTAACAAGATGACACCAATGATTATATGCTTTAACAGTTTTTATTTATGTTTTATATTGTAATGTTGATTGTTTTTAATGGCACTTTTATGAATGCCTGACATCGAAGTGTGCCAATCTCTAACCCGCCTTGATTCGCCGTATGACTGAGAAAGGCGGGCTATAAATATCATAAAATAAATAAATAAACTAAGAGAGAGTTCCCAAGCCCATTTATTAGAAAAGAGAGAAAAGAAATCCTTATCTGGTTGTAAAGGTAAACAAAATGTTTTCCTTTCGCTTCATGAGATAGGAAAAGCTTTATATGAGACAAGGAAAGGATTTTAGATCCCTCTGGGCAATGTTTTTAATGGCAATTTTATGAATTTTATGAACCCACCTTGAGTCGCCGTATGGCTGAGAAAGTGAGTTATAAATATCGTAAATAAAAATAAAATAAATCAATAACGTGCACCCTAAATTTGGTGAGGTAATTTAGCCAAAAAAGTGAGCATTAGATTCGAGTAAAGGTGTTCAAAGTCATACTTCGATGTGCATTTAGAATAACTGGTAATGGGAACAGCTTTATGAGCAATGTGGCCATTTTGTAAGGAAGGCCTTAATGATTTTTCAAATGTATTCTAGAGCTGGGATGGGCAAAGGGTGGCAGGTCTGGGAGCCACCTGGACTCCCAAACACTAAAGCAAAAATCCCAAAGTGGATGGATGCTCCCTTTAAGTTCTCAAATATTGATATTTTGGGTTGTTGTAAGTTTTTTCGGGCTATATGGCTATGGTCTAGAGGCATTCTCTCCTGACGTTTTGCCTGCATCTACGGCAAGCATCCTCAGAGGTAGTGAGGATGCTTGCCATAGATGCAGGCGAAA